CGTTGTGTCTTTTTGAAAAAATATGTGTCGGTGTATAATGTGTATAGTGTGAATATAAAAATTAATTTAACTACACGTTTCTGTGACATCTATAATTAGATTATTATTATAAATGAAAGCTAATGATATAACTAAAAACATAAAAATAATAGTAAAAGCATAAGTCGTCATATTAGTCTTGCACTTGCAATTTAAACGAAGTAACTGTTTAATATATGAACAGTTACTTTTGCCAATTTTATTCCTATTTATTACCTGTTTATAAACACATCACAGCAACTAGATGCACGAGAGAGAAAACTTGGGGTTCATTGAACAAACGTGCATTAATGTCCAGGTGTGCCCGATGTCATACAGAGCATTTTATGTCTGGTTGGATTTTGTAAATATTTAGATAAATAGCAATGTGATTAGACACAAATTATGAGCGTCTGATCATAATTTATATGACTACATGGACTGTGTGTGTGTGTGTGTGTAAAGGTTAATCCTGAAATACTATGTAGTATTGAAATAAATGTTAAAGTACTCATTTTATGACCATAAAATGTGTAGTTTTACATTTATTTTATAAGTACCCATTACATACTAACTTTAGATTGTAGTTCAGCTTGCACTACTTATCATCATTATCAACATCAACAACAACCTCTAATAGTCTACTTCTGAAAATAGGTATCTCCTTAGAAAGGAGGTTTTGACCTGCTATACCATGCTGACCAGACGTGTATTTATAGGGTGTGTTTCAAGTTTTCCTTCTCTATGCAGTGCACTTGTCCTGCGTAGTTTAATCACTTAGTCTTCTCTCAAGACACCCTGTCACCACACTGACTATATACCTGTATATAAAGCCCATTTACCTATTCTTCAATAAAATTATTATTAATTTACTTTTAATCATTATTTAAAAGTAAAATATATTTAAAAAAACTGTATATTTAAACCTCCTCCACTTTCTTACTTTATTTTTCCTTTTGGTCCACTTCATGTGTTATTTATCCTTTGAGCCCACCTGGAATCTGTGAAGCCTACATATACGAACACTTATATACAACGTATGTACGACCACGCAGACATGGACTGGTTTTAAATGATGTCCTTTTCTAAAAAATGAATATTTTTAAATTTAAATATTGTTTAAGCTTAATGTTATAGGGCTCGTATTTTAAAACAACAACTAAATTCGAGTGATAAGATATGAGACCATGACCATTTCAAATTGCTTTATCTCCACATATATTTTCTTCCCTATATTAAATTTCTTTCTTGCTTGCATTCTTTTTCATCATCATCAGCACATCACCGTGAACTGCTGGACGAAGGCCTCCCCAAGGAGCGCCAGCTATTCCGGTCTCGGTCAGTCCGCATACATCCTATTCTCTTTCAAAACAGTGCTAATTTTCTAATTTTTATTTCTTAAAGTCAGCGGCAATAAGATTTCCCCTATTATTTGAACAGGATGTTATTGTTACTTTACTCCTTCGTGGAGACAAGGTAGAGCTTACGTTTGTATGTACAAGCGTCTGTTAATATTCTTGTATTTTTTATTGTAGTTCTTATTAATATTGCAACCTCAAAAACAAATCTCATTAACTACGCCGCTGTAACAAGGCTCTGCAGGCAATACAATACTTTATCAAATTTTCCTAATATATATAATTAAGAACGACACCTGTGAGTCTTTCTCAAAATTTAAAAAGCTATTAAGAAAATTGTAAGCTTGATATTTATTATAGTTTGTTGCAAATTTTATGTTTTTTTTTTATGTCATTGTATCTCCTAAACACCTTTTCTTTTAAATTCTATTAGATTATAATTATTATTTACTTAGTTGTTAATGAGCATGCTGTGGTCTTCTATAATTGAAGATCACGCAAAAAATACCAATGTTTGTGTGTGTTCCAGTGTGAAATGTACTATCGATATTTTGTGTACATCTTCTGTTGAGACCCTTAAATAAAAACTACTGCTGTCTACTACTGTCGATCATTACAGTCTGCGCAAGTAAATAATCTTACTTGTTCGGAACATTATATTCAACAATTTATGACATGTTATAAGGAATCGTCGTCATGTAGAGGAAAATTCATCTATTAGCGTAGAGTACTGAGAACAATATGAATTTTGAATCACATAAAGAGTTGTTGCACTTGAAGAGGACGCTTGATGCTCGTCAAATACGAGGCGTAGATAACGTCAATTCACGTGTAGTAAATTGAATTCAGCTGTACGATACTTGGAAGCCCATAATAGATTTCTCCGTTATTCATAGGGAGTAATGAAGTAATTGTTGTTCTGATATCTATTATATATAATATCTAAAGGTAATGTGTAATTGTATGAGAATTCAAATTCAATATAATCAAATCAATAATGTATAATTACTTACATTTTTTGACCAGGTTATACTGGCTGTGGTCACAGCCTATTAAGTACATATATTCGTGGTCGAATACGACAGGTAAGATGTTCTGCATCTACCCGCACATTATCGACATTTTCTTTTTGTTATGTTCCAACACATACTGTAATAACACTGCCCCTGTACTGTGGCGTGTTCCTTTTAATTATTAGTAAGTTTCATGTTCTATAATGTTTTCCCTCAAATTAATTCTCTTGCCTTTCCTTCTTGCCCCACCTATTTGCCTATCGTAAAATTCCAAAGTGCCCTGTTGGCGCCCATAGGCTTGACTCCTATTGCGTAAGTTATTACAAAATTATAGTTTGGAAAATGACGTACGCCTCTGCCTACCCCTTGGAAAATAGAGGCGTGAGTATATATCTGTATATGTATACTTTGGTTTCGTATAAGACCTTTATTTTTCAATATACTCGTCACGTAGATTATATTTACAGTATTCCTGATAATCCCTTGAACTTTATAAACTATTTGTGAGAATCTACGTGGCATGTACTCGTATGATGAGAATTGTAAGATAAATACTACCACCACTTATATTACAGATACTTGTGCAATGTTCGATCAATCGATGCCCAGAAAAACTCGAATGAGTTTATGAGGTATCATAAAGCTTGCGTACCGATTTTGTAACTAATATTAAAATAAATAATTAAAAATATAATGTGACGTTTTGTCCTATGTGATAAATACACTTCTTGGTAAGTTTATTATTTCGTTCATTCGTTCGTAATTGTATACATGTGCCACTTTGGGCGATAAATCCCGTATTCTTATGTCTGTTGTATTAAAATAAATAAATAAAAATTAATGTATATAACACAAACCAATTTCACCGAGCCTTCGAAAAATAGAAAGTCTTAAAACTTATTGCAGTTTATTATCATTTGTTTTTATGCGTATTTCGTGTTCGTGCATATATTTATATTAGACTTGCAACGATTATTCGGTTACTATTCGGTATTCGGCCTATTCGGCTGCTTTTATTATATTCGGCCGAATACCGAATATCTACATATTATTCGGCCGAATACCGAATACTTAAATAACATATTTTGTCATTGAGAAATAATTGGTAAAATGAAAAATTAAAATCGATTGATTACGTATATATTCATATTTTCATTTCTGTTATAATCATTTAAGTAGTCATTGGTGCAAAGCACAGGTACATAATCATCTTCTGAATTGGAAAAATGGAGGATTCTATGTATTTGAATTATTGTGGTAATCAAAATTTAGAAGGGTAAGGTTCTCATTTCTTTTATAATCATTTATTAAGTAGTCATTGGTACATAAAACAGGTACATAATTTAATTCACGTCTGTACAAGTTTTTGGCGCTAAAATCCAGCCGAATACTTTTGCCTAATATTCGGCTATTCGGTCAGGGGCCTCGCCGAATATTCGGTATTCGGTATACTGCCGAATATACTATTCGTTGCAAGTCTAATTTATATACATTATATATGCACAATTTAAATGTGTTTAAAAGCAGAAGTAATCGTGGGTGAGAAAAATAAACACAAAGTGATGTGACCGTATCAATTTATTCCATTTTATTATTTAAATCATGTACTTATATTTCACATGTAATAACAAAATTTGCATTGGAAAATTATGCAACTCGTATATAAAACACAGGTAATAATAACATGGTATCAGTTCATTTAAACACTAACATCTAACGGCAATTGTCTATACAAACTTACGTGTAACTTATATATTACATAAATAGCAACTTATTTTAGTACTAAAAGTCTTTCTTGGCTAAAACGGCATGTTTTGCCTTCTAATAATACTCGAGATACGTCAATAAGGGTCAGTTCAGACTAAACGAAAAAGTCGTCAAGTACAGTCGCACATCTATTCATCAGAATTTACCCCGAGAGCATTCTTTTGCTTTTGCTCTCGGGGTAAATTCTTCTATTTAATTTTTTTTTATAGTTCAATCTTACTAAAATGCATACTTTTAGAATAATGCTTTCGCGACCTCAAACATTCTAGATTTTTCACTGAAACGATTTCCTGAGCATTTAGACATGCTCGGTCAAGCAATACAAAAAGATAAAAGTACACAACGACTGTTATTTTGTTTGTTCTCAACTGTACCTGAGAGTTATTAAAGTAAAAATTAGAAAATGCACAGCGTTGAATTCAGATTCAATTGTATAGCTACAGATAGCATAGAGATTAATTTAAAATAATAATAAATACTAATAAATTATAAGTGAAATAAGTTAATAAAACAGATTTTAAAAAGCATCGTCGTAACGGAAAATTAATAAATAAACAAAACGGTTAAGTACAGAGGAACTGAACAGACAAGCTTACACGCTAAAAGTTTCAATAAATTAATGATTAAAATCTACAGAATACTAAATATCACAGAGAAAGTACCCAATACTTAATCAACAAAACATTGTTTCGTCAAGCACTTCGAATACAACAACTGACGCAAAGAGAGCGCTCGCTACACTACCAATAAATAAGTACAAAAGGGACTACACCGATTGTAAATTAAATAAATAATTAGTCGAAGCGAAGATTAAGTTACAACACAATACTGAACACTAACTATTCTATCTTTCTGTATTTTTATTTCTTTTTTCTTTTTTCTCTTTCAGCTTGGCCTCGTAGCTGGCGCATCGCATGTTACTGGTGATGACCTTCTTGCCTCGAGGACATCTGAATTCTGAATACCAGTTGTTAAGAAGATTACCGTATGCCCTGAAGGCGATGTAGTCGTTCTTGAGGCATTGTGGCGCATCCACTTTTTGCTCCAACGCTTGGAGATTCCTACTCTTGTTTACTTGTGGTACTGGGACGTTTACAGCGATCATGTTCTCCTTAATTTCAGCTACAGTACTGTATAATCTTTGAAGAGTCTTCCCTATTAACTCATGTCGGGTTTTGTTGTAGCTGGAGAAAGGGTCATCGGCAAAGTCAACTTCAATGTTGAGAAGCAGTTTGAAGATTTCCTGGTACTCCACAAGGGATTTGTACAGCTTCGGCATCAGATACGAGAACTATAACAAAATAAAATTTTGATAAATATGTTTATAATGAAACAAATAATTGGGAGTTACGAAAACATTGAAAACCCAGATTTACGAAAGATAATGCTGCTGATTGTTATTTTTTACAATAGTTGACAGTATTGTGCCAACGTCAAAAATGGGAAAATGACAAATCCTGTAGAAGTAAAAATAATAAGCATTTGTGTCGTTTTTTTTTGTTTGATTATACCATAATGCGATTTGGTTCCTGTAAATCGTAGATATATTTTCTGAGGCAATTGTTTGTGTAGGATTTGAGTAATGAAATACTAATGTTTGCACTTATCTTATATATTTATTGAACTATTAAGATTCGAACAGATCTGCCAATAAAATTAGCCGTCAGCAAAAATGACTTTTCTTAGTTTTCCGCATGATGAAGCGTAATATATTTTAGACTCATAATTAGGAAATTATGAGTGTTGAGCCGAAATCTATTGTTAGTTTCAAAATCTCAACATAAGTAACGACACTGAAGAAGCTCTGTGTGAATTAAGCCCGTCGTGTCGATGATAGTTAACGTCGCGGCAAATTCGTGTCGAGGCTGCCTTGCCGTGGGCATTTGTGATCGGTATGAGTTGACGACATTAATTTGCACTCAACATTTATTCATTGTTTACTTGCCTTATACAAAATTTTAGTGATCAATTCATTTTAATGATACTTTCTAGTTGATTATCATATGCGGCACGGCTAAGCATCTGCGTTTATATCTGCTATAAGACGAAGACTGCGTTTGTAATTGTCGTTTTCTTTAAATCGAGACAATACAAACCCGTAAAACGCTATGTTCCGTTAACTGATTTGAAATTCAAAATAAGCTTTTATAATATCAGAGATTATTTTCAATTAAGAACTGTAATATTCCGCTTTAAAGTCAATTTTACCGATCGGATTAGTGAAAGGCTACAATGATAATTCAGGCATGGTTTTATTTAAATAATCTTAATTTTATTTGCGGTTATATTCAATTACGGTTATATTTGAAATTTTATTAACTAAATCTTTCGATTAAACGGCACTTTATAATCAAAGGTCCATTTTTGGTTGATACTGAGTTGGTGACCTCAAATATTTTGACATCTGGGTACTTATTAGCTTTTGTCACCATGATGGAAATATGTACCTTTAGGATATGTAAATAGAATTTATTATGGATTCACCATGTCTGTTAAAATTTTAAGAACAATACAAACTGGAATATACCACTTCTTAGTCTATACTTTATATTATACTATTGATATTATTGGAACATAATAACTACTAATAAAATAGTAAATAAGTATTAGCGGATCGATATCAGTCTTACAATAACTGTACTTGAAGTTTACCTTTAGCAGGTTACGATGTAATGAATCAGTGTTATTGTACGTCGCTTTAAACAATTACCTATACAATATTAAAATAGATATATATTTGAATGACATAATGCCAGCTTTACTTGACAAGTTATTGGCGGAGGTTATAAGCGCGAATAAGGTTTTCCTATTACACTTATATCCTTGACTATGGACATGTCTAACTAGAATTCGCAAACATCGGAGCTTACATTTTGTCGGTTTTTATAAAAGAATAAAAATATTTATCATGATTTCGTTGAATTTAAATGGTTGATTCGCAAGGGAAATAATCTCTAATCCAGATGGTAATTATATTCCTTTTTGCTAAAGCCAAAAAATGTGTTTCAAAAAATATAGTTATAAGATATACCGACTGTAAATAGGATTTTTTGAGAAATGATTATCAGTAATGTGCAAGTGTCGGAAGGTTTTTGACAGATAGGTGTCTGTTTGTTATTGTTTCATGCAAAAGGTGCTGAACAATTTTGGGTTAAATGCGGAACTCATTCGGTTTATGTATTTGTGATTTCAGAAGAAATATTTAATGTAAAATGATATGTATAAGCATTGGTCCTATACATGTATATGTCTATGTTCTATAGTCTAACAATGATGCTTAAATTATTGATAGATGTACAAGTTGTATACCACACTAGGTATAGAGTACTAGTCTAGCTGGTTCACCTCGATACTTGTAGATACATATATATATATATATAGACTGGCTATTATTATCCTTAAAAATATATTTATTTCTTCATTTACGTTCTCTTTTATCACAATCATTATTATATCATAGCCGTCTTGAAAAGGTTGCAAGCTTTTAATCCTCATTGCATTTTTTTTATCGTTTTTCAGCTCTCTTACGATAAGTCGTAGTAAAAGTTTATATTCCTCGTTTCTGAATGTATGCATTTTTAGTTTAATATTTAACTTAACTATCGTCACATGCTAATATGACTTTAATCAATTAACTTATTTATAATTTAAACGGTATCGAGGACCACCAATATTAGAAGTAAAAATCTTCGATAACTCGTGTACCTATTTAGGTATATAGAAACATTAATAGCTTCTGACGACTAGAAGAAACAAAGATTATTTTTTCAATATAATAGCGCTACGCTTAATAATTGTTTTGATCAATCTGGTTCTTACCGAAAATATTATAATATACGGTTAAATAAGCTTTAAAGTTTTCTATTACCGGCAGGTCGACAAATATCGATCATCAAAGTATATTAATTCATCACCTGATTTGTAGTACCACCTAAATTGCGGGTATATTATACTACAATAAATAAAGAAATAATTAAAACATCATATTTAAGTGTTTACGTAAATATTAATAGTCAATCCAGTGACTAACTTTATACAGAGAATACTCCCGTCGGTACATTAACGCGGCTAATGAATGAACTCATCTGGACACTCATTGTTCCCGGAACGCGAACCTGAGACGATCGAGCAATTTGTTTGTGTCAAGTGTCACCACACCGACTTCCTCCAACATTATGAATGAGTGATTCATATTACAAATAGTTATTATCTATACTACCGGCCCACTATCCTATTCAACATAATTGTCAATTTGCCAAATCTTTTGTTCAATCAAAGGCACCAGACACTATTGAAAGGATTTATTGCGACAGTAAACTTTAAAGAAATTGAGGCATTTGTGAAACCATAGGTACCCGAAGATTTTATTTAATTCCACGACTATTTAGAAGGCAATAAACGATCGATTCTAAAATTAATCGTTAATATTTTACGGTTCATAAAAGTATTGAGTACATGCCATTGCGTTTTCCAACTATTGTGAAGGCGCGACGCCGCAGAAATTGTCGGAGCGAACGATAATAAAAGCGTCGGGCTGTATGAGCAAATATGGTCGTGTATTAAAAGCCTGAAAACCCGACAATAAGCCGTACATTTGCCTTAAAGAGGCGAGCTAAACCTGCGAGACGTGTCGCAGACAAACGCACCACTCCGGAATCGTAAGTTCACATTCGTCTCACTTGGACAAATAATGTGTTTTTAACATTTCGTGTTGTTTTGTTAAATCGTAAATACTGTACAAACACTAGCGCAGCGACCGCTAAGGCTCCGGCCCCTTGTCACTGTGAAAGCGCACCGTGTTCAAACTTGTGGAATTTCTGCCCTTTATTCAAACACTGAAAATACCCAGCATGCACACAGCGCGCTTACTTGAACAAATGTGTGACAAATCACTGCAAATGACCATAATCCCTATATTCACCAAGCCTGTTTTCGTCTTAAATACATAGCTTTGCTAAGTTTGTACTACAATAAATTAAATCAATAGAGACAGTCCACACTAATCTTTCTTCGAGCCCTCGAGTTTAACGTCTCATTTGAGCAGTATTTAATTTTTAAATTGTTCGTATGTCAACTAAGCCGGAGCGAAGTAGAGATCACTTGAATTCTAACGCTTTCCTTTGCCCAATGTCAAATATTTAAATTTGTTAAGTGGCCGTACTTTGACCGGCTGGTGAGATGTGCGTACGAAATATTCAATATTCATTGGTTCATCTACTGGCAATGTGGAAGGAAATAATTTGGTAGATGAGTTGTCGTGCCTGGTCGACTAGTGTGTAAGGACACGGGACGCATTGAATGCACACACGTATTGTCTCGCGGCGCATTAACTTTTGTGTACTAATTAGTGGGTGACCAATATGAATACATAACAGAAAGTCTCGAACTCCAGATGTGTGTTCGGTAAATAATAAAGAGAGGCTTATAGAAGACTCGTTAAATATCGCTTGTGTGTTTTATTTTTTTACGAACCGAAACCGGTACAGACAACGACGGACTGAATACAATTTTTATTTATAATAATTATAAGGTAGTATGCTAAAATACCTACGTGTAGGATGCGTGTTAAGGCATGGTTTTCGGATCGCGTGTGCGCTGCAAAATCATGTGGTGTCAATCTATGCAAATTTCCTTGAAACATTTAACTGGCTCCTTAGTTTGCTCTGCTCCCACAAACGCTAACCATAAGCCTCTGATTTATATATTGCCACTTTTAGTGGAACTCCTAGCTTTTGAACGACGCAGTATTTAACAATGTGTATAACCTGACAGTAGAGGCCTTCTTTCAATGGTTATCGAATGTGGGCGGTGGCATTGTTTTTTGAACGCATCGTCTAGATTAAAGGGTGATAATTGCATTCAGTGTCGGGACCACGATATTTTATAGTCAAATTCAATTCGGTGAACGATTAAGATGTGTTTAACAATGATCATTATAAGTAAATGTACTTCCATTTTGTAATTGGTGAAAACTACATGAGAAAATTCTGTTATATACATAGATAGATACAGGTCAAGCTACCAGAAAGCGTGTGATTTGCCTAAAGAGTAGATAGAGCAATTTTTATTGAATGATCATGTAATGAGGTTTTATAAAAAAGTAAAAATGAGCTGATTTCCTTGATGAGAGCGGCATTCGAAATGAAGGGCTTGCACTTCTAGTTATTGCCCGTAACTACAATGTGAAGTAAATAAACGCGGCACAAAGGCCGGGCCCATGTAATTTGGCTCGTCGGAACCTCATTTAAGTTGCAACGGTGGTGCCTCGAGCACGGCTAATGTACTCGGAGATTCTTTGTCTTAAATAAAACAAAAATAAATTAAAAACAATGTAAAAACATTGAACGGGTAAAAAGAGTAATGTTACGGAGCACCACACCCTCGCTGGGAGTGATCGACCGCATAATTACACTGTCAGTTGCACAAAAATTACTTCAAACATAATATTATTGCGATTACACGTTATGACGAGTTAGTAGATGTGATTAAACGACTAAGAATTTGGGGCAAACGACACAACACAACACGACTTGTCTATAGATTATCAGAAGGTTAGTCTGTGCCAAATGGAAGCGGAAGTACGATTCGCTCATATCAGTGAAGGTGTCCGACTATTTAATATCGCAGGTACAATTAATCACCATAATACCTAACTGTTATTATTATACTACTTCTTAATACATTTTAAATACACCCTAATAATATTATCTAAGATACTCACTTTGCGTTCCGAAATAGTCGCTCCTCGTTTTCTATATGTGTAGAAGTGTATATCTACAAAATTGATCGCAGGCAGCCAACTGGGCATCCCGTCTCTGTACTCCCTTGTTTCATTGAGCACACGTCGCTCCTCATTGAAGAATCGTCTAGTATTTTTTAGTTTCTTAATAATTTTTCTCGACGCGTTCTTGAAGCGATCCGCAAGATTTTTCTGTTGTCTCATTGTCCCGGGCGAGTCTTTGGTTGTTTGCGTCAGAATGAAAGTTTGCTTCCTATGTTGGCGCCTCCTGTGTTCTACCTGGGTCGCCTTCATTCTCGTCTCTTTGGTTAATGCTAACGCATCTTGCTGCCGCCTTTCATGTCTGATCTTATGATCAAGCGTCCGTGCTTCCGATGGCATCACAACCATTGCTATTATCACTAATATTGAAGTAGCTACTAAAAGCTTTTTGGGCAAACCTGGAACAAAAATACATCATTTTTTAAAGTGTATTCGTTGACGGTTAAATTTGTTTTGAACACAATCAACATGATTATAAAACCTCGCTTTTATCTCAAAGATAATATTTGTTATAATATGAATGATTAATAAGAATTGATAGGAAGTCGAAATGTTGGCGTAACTTGCTCACGTTTCGATATTCCGTTGTTGTATGCAATACTCCGAATTATGAAATTGGTGGAATAAAACCTGTGTATATATTTTAAAACAGACCGTTGCATACTGTAATACGGTGGAGTCACATAAAAAATAATAAGGTCCATGATTATCTTCAGTTGTTGTACACACGTATGTCGGTATAGTACGATCTCCATCTCTGGACTCCATACTACTTTCTCAACGACCATTAGGCCGGGGTGGGAAGTGACTCACGTAATTTTTAAAATACTTTTAGATGCCGATGAACGGGACTTATCTTTAACTTTAGTTTCAATGATATTGTTATGTTTATGGGAATAAGTGATAGATTCCAGACACATACACATGTATATTATAAATAGATTTTCTCTGGCGGTGGCATGGTATGCCACCTCATAATAGTGTTAGCGAAAATTGACACGCCCATTATTAATGTTATTGCGCAAATATTCATATTTGTCGCGTTCTTCGATTTAACGTTTGACAGTTATTGAAGGTTTTGATGTTTCGCGCCGACGCCATAAAACATATTTTATGTTCCAAGCAATACTGTGAAGGCGATGTTTTCATACTTTTAAAAGGCAGGAGCATCACTAGCATTCAAGCTTAGCTTTGTTCCAAGGAGTGTTAAAACATAGAAAGTACTTGTTGCATGTTTTATTTGTTGTGTATGCAGCTTGGTAGCTGAAGTTAGATACTGGCCACAAGCGAAGAATTGACGTAGGTCTTATATTCAACTTCTTAAAAAAAAAACAAAGAGATTCTCAATTCGGTTGTACTTTTTTATATTCATCTTAGAACTCGGTCATTTATGAACCAATTTGGCAAATTTTGTTTTTATTTGGGAGGGTATATTTCCCACTTATCAAATATCATTCATCCCATATCAAAAAAAATGCCCCTAGCGGTGGAAAATTATGGAGTAAAGAAGTTGATGACACTTTTTTAAAAGTTAATTATTAAATATAGAACGAAATCATTTATACATTTTTTTATCATAAAGACCAAGGTCGTAATCTAAATTGATCCTGTTAAACCTGATACAGACTTTGTACGAAGAACGGAAAAAGTTGAGTTAGTGATCTTTATCAGTAGGTATACGAAAAAAGACATAATATTAGAACATCGTACCAGTGACTATCGATGCCGTCATCGATAATAGTTAAATAAATAATACCGTGCGGTTTTAAGAACAGCAAATCAAATATGTAACATGTATTATCACATCAGCTGAATATTACAGTCAGTTCACACTCTTGTATTACGTCACACGAGGATAAGCCATGGTTTATGGTCAGTGAATCATTAGGTCAATTCGTGTCGTTGACAATTTAATGTATGTTAAGTAAATACAGCGTAACGCGGGCATAGAAAATAAGAGCCAATACAAAAATATTCACATACTGTGTTATTAGGGTGTATTGTGGATGTTTCTAGTTTAAACTGTGGCTAATGTCGTATTTGCGGAACGCATAGACGAGATCAAACAATGCTAACGCATATAATTGTTAAAGCGAAAACCAGGCTCTTATTGTGAATTGGGGTTTCCCCAACTGTTAATAAACTTGACAGTCATTTGTATTTTTGTAAATATTTATATAGTGTTATAAATATCGCCCATTATCAACCACTTAGATATGTGAGTATTTATATTATGTCTTAATAGCAACACTATTACTCGGGGTTTCACCTACGGTTATTAATTCCCACAAACCACTTTATGGGTAACCTCAGTGAAGTTATGACTGACTTCCGCATGACATAAATACCTGATTTTTAAAAACGTATAACCGATTTCAATGCGACCACGACATGATAAATTATAATGAACTGTATTCTTCATTGCTTAATTTTCTACCCTTAGCAACGCTATTTTTTTCTACCAATTTAAATGAAACCAAACATAAAGTATACCCTGCTATATAAAAAAAGAATTTTCCAAATCGGTAAATAAAGGACGGAGTTCTGAGGTCACAAACATAAAAATCAAAAATGGCCGAATTGAGAACAGCCTGCTTTTATTGAAGTTGGTTTAAAAAAAGCCATATAACATATATAAGCCATTGTCGTTGTAGGAAAAGAGAAAAAAATACGAGACAATATTTTTCTTTCAATAACTGGGTTTTTTTTTAAGACAACTCCCGCACTAGGAATATATCCTATGTCGCGGGGGCTTTACAAATATATACATGAAACGGACACAAAGAACATTCGGACTTAGAACAACAATTTGTGGATCACACAAAGTGTCGTCCCATGTGGGGCTCGAACCCAAACACTCAGCGTAGTAGTAAGCGGCGTGGCGACCGCTTAAACCACTACGCCGTCCGTGCAGTCCGGGCTGCTCGAATTGTCGCAGAAATCTACCTATTGTCCTATTGAATACTTATAATAGGTACGTCAACGCCCAGTTCTAATGACCTACTAGAATATAAACAACTCTCTCATCTGATAGCAAAGGCTTACCAAGACACGCAATAAAATAGTTCGCTTGCCATCTCTAACTACGTTTCTTAAGAAATCATACTTTAATCTTTGTTCGCCACGGAGCATTATAAATTATAGTAAGAAAAAAACAAACGAAACAAAAAGTGGCAAACGAACCTATGACTGCTTATTAAACAGTGTTAAAGATGTTACTGGCTCTTTACCGACAAAATAGCCTTTCCCGAAATGCGATAAATCTTATTCACTACCAAAAATACAATGTAATTTAAGTAGTGATGATATTTTAAAATATTGAGGTATCTTTTAACAATTGTTAGCTTTTCTTCTTCAATCAAGCCTCACCAGTTCTGAAATCTAAAGCGTAATATTCCCTATGCTCAGTTAATTAAAATCAGATCGGGTTACTTTTGTCACTATCTCCTAGTCCATAAATAATTTGTAGGTGCAATACAATCATTGTCTATCAGTAATTGGTATGCGATTTTTCACATTAATATATTCTATAGTCTACACATTGCCTTTAAAACTTGTAAATTATATTATAGTCGTGATGAATTAGGCCAAATACTGATTTTATTTAAAACGTAGCTTCTCCGATAACCCAAAGCTGATTTTATTTAAAAAGTAAACTAAGTTAACTAAGCTATTGAATGTCGGGAATACAGCAAGTGAAGTTCGTCTGTATCGAATGACATCGCGGGCGCATTTCAGCGAAAAATTCCTTTGATCGGTCGCCGACGGCCGAATGTTGAACATTCTCACACGATTCGTGCACAGCACTCGATTCTCGATTGTCTGCTTCCAAAAATGATTTACGTACATGCTTACTAATCGTTTTATTTCTACAATTAGTGATGCGTCATTTCACCTTTCAGGGACTAGCTTTTGTTAGGGGTTGTTTACATCTTTCATTATTTTAGTGACACATTATAGTTATAATGTAATAATAATATTTTATGGTTTGTTTATATTTTCTTTGAGTTTATTTATTTTCTTAGATTTTTTTAATTGTTTTTTTTTGGTCCCTAACAAATATGAGCTTGTGCCCCAAATATTTAGATATCATTAATGAGTATTTCTAAATTTATTTATTTTCCTTATTCTTATTAATAATTAATACTACCAGTAATATATTAAATTACGATTATTCATATATTTAAATTATCATTTCTCGATAGGTAGTTCATTAATATCTGTAACTTAATAAATTATATCAGGTAATTTCTCTCTCTTTCTACGATTTCTACTTACAATATACCACTTACGACGCTATTAATACTCATTAAAAATCTTAATTAAACAAATCTATGTTCATTGTAATGTGATAGCTTTATGAGTATTTGCGTTTGTTCAAGCTTACCCACAAACAAAATTAATTGTTTACATTCTTCAACGAACGAACGGCACACTTGAAGTTGTCAAACAAATAATTAAGTCGGTGTTGAAGTTTTGAATTAAATTTATAAAATAAACACACACCAGTTAAAAAGACATCCATGAACAACGCATTGATGTAGCTCCTTTGGGCAAGTCCATGTTCATGCGAACAATATATTATTCCCGATAACCGAAATCTTAGAAAACGACATGCAAACTTTCCTATTAAACTAATTCTGTCACTGGCTGAAAGCACTCGCGGATTAACACTTGAAAATCGAAGCACTTTTTTTTTTAAAATTTCGAAGTCACTGGTATTTAATTCGCACTGGAATTATAAAATGTTCTGGTGGTGATTTGTCGAACGTGTGTCACCGGTGTGGTGTGAAGAGCGAGTGTGCGAGACTGGCGCGCGAGCAGCCTCCGCTCGTTGAATGGGCACCGAAATGCGGCACCGTACGTGAAATAGCCGGTCAAACACTATGCGAAATCCCTTACCCAACTCCCAACAGTCGGAAAGTGAACTTCAACCCTTGCGGAGACTTCCTTTGTTCTATTTTTTTTTGGTTTTAAATTAAAAAATAAATAAATAATGAAAGTGAAGTAACAATATTCAGTATTACACATTTAAACGAAATGAGTTGAGTCATTCATTGCTGATATTGTTTACCGATTAAGCAGGTTCAAGTACCTTTTTGTATCAGTATCTAACCAAATCTTACGTATCTGCATATAAATCACATTATCTATATAGGATAAGCTAACTAAGGGTATATTAATAAAATTACAGAAATATTTTTTTGAAATTATCGATAGGAAATTACTTTATAATCTTAATGTAATTGGTTGTAATTAAATGTTATTGGAAGTAAGAGTGTCGTCTCCACGGCCTGCTGTTTCTAAATCTTGTGCAAGTGTAACTTTATTAATTTAGTTCTCGATGG